TACCTACCTCGTTGAGAGAGAGAGGAAGAGAGAGGGGTCTTACCTGTGTTTGGCCGTGTATCTTCCAACGATAGGATGAGCAAAATCGAGTGAATCTAACCCAAGGACAAGGGGAGATTCACACTACAGGTAGGCAAGGTAAGTTGTTCGCCTTTTTATTGTTGTTTTTCTTAGTTTCTTTTTTTATTGTTTTTTAGCTCTCTCACGTCGTATGGCCGTTGGAGTATAGAAAGCAGGGAAAAAAAACGGGGAAGGATGAAGCAAAATAAACTAAGAAACTGTATAAAAAAAAAATAAATAAAAAAAAAAAATCAAGAAAACGAAAACGAGGCAACTGCCTCGTGAAGAAAAGAACAGTCTTTTGACTGTATGGGAGCAAGGAGGGCTCCCACTTCAATTTTGGAAAGCTGGTTGTGGCCGCGAGATCTCAGATCTCACGGCTCACAACGTGCGCGTGTGGGAAAGGGAAAAGGAGGGAAGAGAGAGAAACGGGGTGGTTRGGAGGAGGAGGGCCTACCTCTCCCAACCTGACAACTACCTTCCCCGTTTTCAGGAGAGGGCAGTAGAGGAAAGAAATAGGCTGTTGGCAGAAAAATGCATGCTCCATGCTCGAATCACGGTCAGGAGCACTTCAGTTAAGGGGTTGAGTTTTTTTTTCTTTATTTTTTTCTTCTTTTCTTTTTCTTTTCTTAGTGTGAGGACACTTGTCCTCACGTGGTGCTACCTCTCGCACAAGCTGCCAGAGGTAACTGTCAGGCTCCCGTTTTTAGAGGAAGCCTGGAAATTGAAGGGCCATAAGGGAAAAAGGCTAAGTACAGCCTTTTCCCCGATGTATCTGCCCTGGAAAAAGGGTCCAGATACATCAAATTGTAAAGAGCTGTAACTTTCCAACCCCTTATCAGAAAAATAAAAGAAAAACACTTTTGGAAATGGCAGGAGACCAGCTATCTCGCCAGATTCCGAGATAGCTGGGAAAAAGAAAAAGAAAAAGAAAATAGGGCAGTTAAAAAAACTGCCCCACACTAAGGCTGTGACTGTGGTGCGGCCACAGTCGGCCCTGGATCTAGGCCAGATTAAGGGCTCTCTGTGAGCCCGCGTTTTTACCTAGGGGCTGGAGTGACATCCAGCTGCTCTCAGCCCATATAAAAAAGGCAGCTGCCTCCCAGCTGCCACACAAAGCACTCGTGCTGCCAGTGTGTGACGGACACACTTGAGTGTTGTGGCTGCTGGAGCTGTTGCTGAGGCAACGTGAGGAGGAGCTGGAGGACTGCAGGGGAGCACCAGGAGGAGGACTAACCAAGGCAAGGAGCACTCTGCTCCCCTCCCCTTTGGCTGGCGCTGGTCCCACGGGACAGGCCAAGTGACACAGCAGTACTACGGCGGGCGGCACAGGCTATTACTGCGGTAGTACGAGAGTGCTGCTGAAATTTTGTTACGGCGGCACCAACTTTTTACTGCGGTAGTGGGGAAATGCTGCTGAAATTCTGCAGCAGCGGCACCGACTTTTTACTGCGGTAGTACGGAAGTGCTGCTGAAATGCTGCAGCGGCGGCACCGGCTTTTTCAACGGTGGTGCGAGAGCGCTGCCGAATTTTCGAGGCAGCAGTTCTGGTTTTATCGGCGGGGGTGCGGTAGCACTGTCGAAATTTTTTCGACGGTGACTCCGGTTTAACCAGCCGTCGTGCGGAAGCACTGCAAAGATTTTACGGCGGCGAAGCGAGGTTACAGGCGCTAAATATTTCTACATCGAGCGGCAGTTAAACCTTGGTATAGGGGAGGTGCCGCTGAAGTAAGGGATCAGAAGTGGCGTGAGTTTTGATGGCATGGTGACGAGGTGGCAGTGAAAATCAGTGGCGGCGATACTTATTATAAGTTAGTGAGGAAGCGTTGTGGCAGGTGGTTGTGGTAAAAGGAGGAGTGTGGATTATTTATCGACGACTGAAGACAATTGTCACTGACAGAGGAGCATAATTTTCATATGGCTTTTCTTGAGTGGGCCGCTATTATCTTCAGTCCAACTTCACTCAAGGTCACTCAGTCAGTTAAATTGACTCAGTTCCCTTCACACCTGAGTGAACCCACACTTGCTTTGAACTATTTTACTGAATGTTCATTGAAAAGGGAAAGAGAATGTGTGTGTTTGCGTGTATGACAGGGAGTCTGACAATAGAAAAGGATTGCATGGTCGTCTGTGTGTCGTTGGGTTTTGACTGCAGGTATGGCAAATGAACTGAAATGCATAAGGGTGATGACGGTGAAAGAATGGTTGACTTTTCATCTTTGTGCTTGTGTTCTATGTATAAATAAAACAAAGGGAAGACGACGAGAAACGAAGCGAGCATAAGGAAGAGAAGTTAAACTTGGTTTAGACTTATTCCTGAGGTTACCCATTCTTTCTCAAATAACCCTCTTTTATCTATGCCTGTCAGACTGAATGGTTCTATCTTTCTACGATTCCTCTTTCTTCGTCTAAGTTTAATTTTGGCGCTAGGTGGCAAGATTCTACTTGTCTACCGTGTAGGTGTCTTTCCATTTGTCTAGGAGGCATCTGGGGCGGGGGTTCATTGCCTTAGGGGCCGTCCCTGTTATCAACCCAGAGTGGACCGCCTTGCAGGGGGGGTACTATGCCGATTCGGTGGAGACGGCCCAACTTCTGAGATCCGAGTTTTGTACTCGGGCGAGGAGAAGGAGTATCCCAGACCACCTCTTAGGGTAATGGAAAAGGCATCCACACGGAAGAAAATTATTTCTTGACGCCTTGCGAAAAAGGAAAACTGCCTTAGCAATCCTGTTTAAGTGGTCACCCTAGGTACCGCTAACGTATGGAGAGTTGGCGCCACAAGTAGCCCGACTCATGTTTCATTAGCTGAACAGAGTACATTTAGATACTCCTGACGAGGTTGGTCGTGCCATAAGAAGCACGGGCCAGAAGGAAGACAAATGTTTTAAGTAATACTTAATTTCAACTTAATCACATTCGGCTTCCTTTTTCTTTCAGATGTCTATGGGAACCACGAAACTATTCCTTTTCAACAATCGTGATGCGGCAGCGGAGAGAGTTGAACTCCAAAGGCGTGATGGAGTGAGGGTAGAAAGGGTAGGCAGACTTATTTATAATCCGTCAAAATTATATTATGAGGAGGACGTTCCACGATTTTGGGGTAGTAATGCGCAAAGACCCCCAGACGACTTGTTTTCAGGAGTGATAACGGCCTGGATATTCTTCATTACGAGTTCGCACCGCCACTGCCTGAGCGTCACTTCGTCAATATGAACCTCGTGGTGTTGCAGCCCTATGAAATCAACACACGAGTGGACGAAATCCCTGAAATAAGGTTGATGTACGTCTGTTACGTGCTTTGGATGAACGAGCGACAAGGCCCATTTTTTGGCATATACTACGAGGAGCGGATACGTGTCAATAGGTACGCAATAATAGGGGGAAGAACTCAAGAAGTTTTTACGTAACTAATTTGAATTCGTTCTGATACGCAGATGCCTGGAGTACGACGGGACTTGACGATCCCGAGGTATCTGCTGGTTCGTGATACACACGCTGAAGACCGTCCTTTCATCATCGAGACCGATGCAGGTCCTACCGCTTTGGGAGGAGTTTTGGTCCAAAAGGATGGAGAAGGACGGGAACGGCCATTGAGGTTCGAGAGCAGAACTCTGAATATTACTGAGCGGAACTACTCCCAGTTCAAGAAGGAAACTCTCGCTGTGCTTCACTGTCTGCGCATTTTCATGAATTATGTAATTGGTAGACGGTTCATTCTGCGAGTTGATCCTACGGCTCTGGCTCACTCATTGAAGAACTATTCTCCTTCTGATCCAACCATTTCTCGATGGCTGATATATATTTGGATGTTCAATTTTGAAATTGAGTGCATCTCAGACACTCAGAATCGAGCAGATGGATTGAGTCGTGTTGATTGGGACTCATCGACGGATCAGGCTGAGAATTCAGTTCCTGTGGATGGATTCCTCGAAGGAGAAGAGTCACAGTTGAGTATTAACTCAAACAATTATTTGGCGGATGCGACAACTCGGCATGGTAAAACCATCTGGAATGCTCCTTGTTTCCATCATGTGCGATCAGAGCTTGTGATTGGGGAGCCGTTCATCGAACAAGACCTATGGGGTGAAAGAACATATGAGCAAATGATGAAGTTGGCTTTATCTGATGAAGTCGAGCTCATCAAAGAGCCGCTGACGATTGAGAATGGGCATGAGCAGGCTGATAAGACTTTCAGGATCGCTGGAGAGATGTCATTCCTTGTGAACTCTCTAATTCACGAGGACCGCTTGAAAATGATGAATAAAGAAGCAGAAGGCAATGAAATCAGAGAGACTTTCAGAGAAGGAGAGTATGATGGGAAGTATAAATTAATGGGAATGTGGTTGAATGGTGAGTTGAGGGAGGATGAGGTGGATCCAGATGTTCGTGAGAAAAGTAAGGATTTTGTTGTAAGATATGGTCATCTTTTCAAGAAATCCAACGATGACATTCCGAGAAGAGTGGTATGTGGGGTTACGCGACAACTTGATGTGATTGCGACTTTGCATGATGGGGTCGCAGGCGGACATAGATCGGCACGAGTCACTTTAAAAAAGATTCAATATCTTTATTTTTGGGAAGGAATGAACAAGATGGTGAATGAATTTTGTAACTCTTGTCTTTCATGCCAAAAACGATCTAATCTGCGTTTTGTTGAACCTCTTAATCCACGCTATGTAGCTGAGCCGGGAGCAGTAGTACACTTGGATCTATTGGTCATGCCACCTGGAATAAATAAGTACAGATATATCTTCAACGCAAGAGATAATCTGACTGGGTTCGTTGATGGTTGTGCCATTCGCGAGCGTACTGGGCATGTTTTAGCAGAATGCATTGAGGAATATTATCTTCGGTACCCATTTGTTCGGGAAATTGTCATGGATCGAGGTGGTGAATTTCGAGCTGGGGAAGTGCAGGCGCTTCTGAAAAAACTTGGAGTAAGCTTTAGCTATACTACAAGGGCACATCCTCAGGCCAATGCGTCAGTTGAACGTGGACATGCCACTCTAACAAATTTGTTGGCCAAATGGTGCGGAGACGATCCTTCAAGATGGCCGATATATCTGAGAACGGTCTTTTTTGTTGAGGATGTCACCATAAAGCGGACAACTGGATACGCTCCGGTCACATTGTGGTTTGGGCAGCATGCAACTTTTTCGATCGAAAGTTTTCTGACCACTTAGAGAAAGAAGGATGTGGAAACAAAACTTTCAACGGAGGAGCTGTTGGAATTGAGGGCAAGACAAGTGATGATCACTGAGGAAAGGATTGAGGAGGCCGCTGCCTCTACTGCAGAAAGCAGACAGGCCGACAAGGAAAGATGGGATAAGGAGCCTCGCGTTCGTAAGGAACCATTAGAAGTCGGGGATGTAATGCTTCTTTATGACTCGTCCTTGGAAAAACAATGGTCTCGAAAATTGGACAGCCGATGGTTGGGGCCCTATCGTATGATTAGAAAGTTTGAGCATGGAGCTTATGAGATCGAAGAGATGGATGGGGCTCGAGGTAGAAATTGGGTGTCGGGATCGCATTTGAGAAAGTTTATTCCAAGGACTTAATAAAAAGGGTTTTTATTAGTATAAGTTTCTCTTTCTTTTTCAAGACTTGTTTTTCCTCTTTTATTTCTTTTGAATCACTAAATGCTGACTGGTTCTGAGGACATACAAGAAAATTGTAACTTTGGACTCTTGGGATTTGATTTTATTCTGGGACCTATGGTTCCATGTTTTTTTTGTAATAATTAATAAATTTTACGACACCTGTTCGTGGAATTATGTTGTAACTTTTGGATCGAAAATTTGTTGATTCCTAAATGTGAATGATTTCTTGTTTCGATGAAATGTGATGCAATGCAAATTTATTAATATTTTTGGACTGGAATGTTATGGAACTCTCTGTGAAAATGTATGTTATTATTTGATGAATACTCTCGTTGTAAAAATTATAGGAAAATGACATGTAATTTGTATTATATGGCTTGTGGCATAACTATGAGTTATTCACAAAACATGTAATGCAATTATTTATCATAGCCTAGGACTTTCGTAATGTTTTTAGTTATCATGTTATGATGAGTCCAGATGCAGTGAGCTTTGTAGGTGATAGTGAGGCCTACGCCGGAACTTAGTTCCTGGTCCATAATGGGATGCTGTAACTTTTTATTTTTTCAGAAAGGTGGCTACACTATCATTGAAAGGAAGGATAATATTATTATGATTGTCGGAATCTTGCTTGTGAGGGTGACGACTGCCACTTGTCATGAGGAAAAGAGTGGTCACCTTGGCCTTGTGATGAATGGGGTCGCCTCGCCTCTATGACCGGGACTGACCAGCTTTGGTCATAGAGAAAGGGTGGTTCAACCTCGCAGGTAGGGGACTAGCAAGCACTTGATACTGGAATCGGAGGGAAGGTGATGAGGCTCGAGTCTAAAGCGGGGTTTGATGTCGAGATGTTATCCTTTGCGGATTACACCACTCCTCGACGCATATCACAATGCATACACGAATATCATGTATGGTAACTCGTAATTGGAGTGGGATACAAAACCTGGACAACGACTTTTGATAAATGGTTTCTCTCATAAATGGTTGGTCCAGATTCTGTCTGGGCCGCTCAGGAGGTTATTTATTTTGAAATACCCGTCAGGGGGTTAAACCTGATTTTTTTTTAATAAATGTAAATATTAGCCGACTGAGGTTTAGAAGGCTAGCCAGAGGCTATTTCCGGTACTATTCTGAAAGACTAAAATGATGTTTAGAGTTGCCGCCAGTGGGATGATGCTGGGACCATTTAGACAAAGTTCCTTGATAATTTTAGTAATTCTGGATCTTTATCCGGTACAAATTCAGGTTTTGATGAAAGGCTTGCCAGAGGTTACATCTGGTACCATTCCAATCAAGGATGATTGAATTTTAGATTACCGAGGCAATAACTCGAATTTTAGTTATAAGCTCCGGCTTATTTTCGATTGAAAGAGATTTTGTTAAAAAGAGTTCCATAAGAATCAAGAGAACCCTATATTGTTGACTAATATAGGGTGTACGACGGGGACGTCGTTCAATGGGGTTTGGGATTGCTGTCGGGACAAAAACCCTGACAAGGGTATTTGCCGGTGTTTTTAAACGTTGGACGTTGTCCGACTCTTGCGTTGAATTGAAGGACTTGTTGAGACTGATGTTTGCCAAACGTTTATTCAGACCAGCGCTATGACTGAGAAAACCTAAACCTTTTAGAACCTGACGTCGGCAACGCAAGACGACATCGACGTCCGCACGGGATAGCGGAAGTCGGCACTGTCATCCGCGGTTTTTTTTTTACGAGAACGCAGCAGTGTGCAGTCATGGAAAGACTAAAATTAGACCTATTCTATCTAAAAATAATGTCGCGCGGCTGCTAGGCCTAAGTGGGTAAGGAGAGAGTTGCGCCGGGGTATGGGGCCACGACGAAGGAGGCGTACAAAGTTTTTGTTTTCTCTAGAGTCGCGGGGTCTGTTTCCGAGCCTTGGGGCCGATAGGCCAATGCCAGGACTTACCCGGCTCGATGGCCGACCCAGCCGTGGCCACACGGCTAACCGGTATGGGTAGGCCACGGGCAGGTAAGCCGACAGGCCACAGGCAGGGCAGCCCTGCTAAGCCACAGTCGGGGCAGGCCTGCTAGGCCATTTATGGGCGGAGCCTGCAAGTCTGCAGGCCTGTCTCTTATACACATCTAGATGTGTATAAGTGCCAGGACTTACCCGGCTCGATGGCCGACCCAGCCGTGGCCACACGGCTAACCGGTATGGGTAGGCCACGGGCAGGTAAGCCGACAGGCCACAGGCAGGGCAGCCCTGCTAAGCCACAGTCGGGGCAGGCCTGCTAGGCCATTTATGGGCGGAGCCTGCAAGTCTGCAGGCTGAGAGAATACCTGGGCCAGCTCTTCATATTGAAGAGCTGCTCTTGCTCACCGTGGAACAAGAGGTAGCCCAGTAGGTTAACGTAATAGACACTCACCCTGCTGATATAGGGATCGAATCTCACTCGTGGTACTGTCGGGATAGCTCCTTTTGGAGCTGCCCGTTTCTTTTAGAGGCGCGGTCTACCTGGACCGCCCGATCAGGAAGATCGCGCGGTCCAGTTCGGCCGCGCGCAGATCAGCAAGGCTCCTGCACAAAGAGGACACACATAAATCAAAATAATAAAAATAAAAATAAATAAATAAACAAATCAAAGACAGCGCCACTTGGCGTGAGAAGATGTGCCTGAAGGCACATAGTAGTAACCGTTGGCTTATGCCAACAGTTTTTTGTTAAAACTAAAAAAAAAAAAAAAAAAAAAAAAAAAAAAAAAAAAAAAAAAAAAAAAAAACACTAAACTGAAACGAGGCAACTGCCTCGTAGCTGAAGAAGAACAGCCTTTTTGGCTGTGTGGGAGCAGAAAGGCTCCCCACCTCATACACAGCGAATATTTGAGGCCGCGAGATCTTGGATCTTGCGGCTCATAATGTGCGTGTGGGAATGAGGTTGTGGAGTTGGCTGGAAGAAGAGAGAGGGAGGATGAACATGAGAGTTGGGAGGAGGAGGTCCTACTCCTCCCAAACTGACAACTGCCCTCCTCGTTTTCAGGGGAGGGCAGAGCAAAAGGTGGAAGGCTGTTGCATGGAAACAGCAAGATGTGTATAAGAGACAGCTCCCAAACTGACAACTGCCCTCCTCGTTTTCAGGGGAGGGCAGAGCAAAAGGTGGAAGGCTGTTGCATGGAAACAGCATGCACCTGGCTGAGGGAAGAGCCAGGAACAATGAAAATTAGTAGTTAGTTTTTTTTTTTTTTTCTTTCTTTATTCGTGTGAGGACACTTGTCCTCACATGGTGCTACCTCTGGTAGAAGCTGCCAGAGGTAACTGTCAGGCTCCCGTTTTTAGAGGGAGCCTGGAAATTGAAGGGCCATAAGGGAAAAAGGCTAAGTACAGCCTTTTCCTCGATGTATCTGCCTTGGAAAAAGGGTCCAGATACATCAAACAATAATGGGCTGTAACTTTCCAACCCCTTATCAGAAAAATAAAAGAAAAACACTTTTGGAAATGGTAGGAGACCAGCTATCTYGCCAGATTCSGAGATARCTRGGAAAAAKAAAAAKAAAAATAAAATAGGACAGTTAAARAAACTGCCCCACACTAAGGYTGTGGYTGTGGTGCGGCCACAGTCAGCCCYGGATCYAGGCCAGATCAAGGGCTCTCTGTGAGCCCGCGTTTTTGCMTGGGGGCWGGAGTGACGTCCAGCTCCTCTCAGCCAATATAAAAAAGGCAGCTGCCTCCCAGCTGCCACACAAAGCATTCRTGCTGCCAGTGTGTGACGAGCACACTTGAGTGCTGGCTGCTGGAGCTGCTGCCTGAGGCAACGTGAGGAAGAGCTGGAGGACTGCAGAGGAGCACCAGGAGGAGGACTGGGCAGCCATAGCCAAGGCAGGGAGCACTCTGCTCCCCTCCCCTTTGGCTGGTGCTGGTTCCACGGGACAGGCCCAGTGGCACAACGGTACTACGGCAGGCGGCACAGGCTTTTACTACGGTAGTACGAGAGTACTGCCGAAATTTTGCTGCGGCGGCACAGGCTTTTACTACGGTAGTACGAGAGTGCTGCCGAAAATTTGCTGCGGCAGGCCTGTTTTTTTTTTTCAGTGGTGGTGCGGAAGCGCTGCCGGGTTTTGCAGCAAGCAGGCCTGGTTTTTCAGTGGTGGTATGGAAACGCTGCCGGTTTTTTTGCGGCGGTAGGCCTTGTTTTTCAGTAGTGGTACGGAAGCGCCACAGGGTTTTCTACGGCGGCGGTTCCGGGTTTTCGGCAGTGGTGCGGTTGCGATGTCGGAATTTTTCGACGGTGACTCCAGTTTAACCAGCCGTGGTGCGGGAGCGCTGCACAAATTTTACGGCGGCGACACAGGGTGTCGCGACAAGTGATCGTTCTAAAGAGTGGTGTGGATTGTTTTGCGGGCGACTCATTGTGACGATCGTCTTCTCTGGAGTGTGATTTACACGATGTTCCTGAGTGGGCTGTTTCTTCAATTTCACTCAAGGTCAGTCAGTCAATCAGTCAGTCAGTTAAATTGACTCAGTTTCCTTCACGCCTGAGTGAACCCACACTTGCTTTGACCTATTTTACTGAATGTTCATTGAAAAGGGAAAGAGAATATGTGCGTTTGCGTGTATGACAGAGAGTCTGACAATAGAAAAGGATTGCATGGTGGTTTGTGTGACGTTGGGTTTTGACTGCAGGTACGGCAAAAGGACTGAAATGGACAAGGGTGATGAGGGTGAAAGAATGGTTGACTTTTCCTTTTTGTGCTTATGTTCTATTTATAAATAGAAAAAAAAAAGACGACGAGAAACGAAGCGAGCATAAGAAAGAGAAATTCAACTTAGTTTAGACTTATTCCTGAGGTTACACATTCTTTCCCGAATAACCCTCTTCCATCTATGCCTGTCAGTCTGAATGATGCTATCTTTCTACGATTCCTCTTTCTTCGTCTAAGTTTAATTTTGGCGCTAGGCGACAAAATTCTACTTGTCTGCCGTGTAGGTGTTTTTCCATTTGTCCAGGAGGCATCTGGGGCAGGGGTTCGTTGCCTTAGGGGTCGGCCCTGTTATCGACTCAGAGTGGACCGCCTTGCGGCGGGGGTACTATGCCGATTCGATGGAGACGGCCCGACTTCTGAGATCTGAGTTTTGTACTCGGGCGAGGAGAAGGAGTATCCCAGACCACCTCTTAGGGTAATAGAAAAGGCATCCACACGAAAGAAAATTATTTCTTGATGCCTTGCGAAAAAGGAAAACTGTCTTAGCAATCCTGTTTAAGTGCTCACCCTAGGTACTACTATCGTATGGAGAGTTGGCGCCACAAGCAGCCCGACTCGTGTTTCACTAGCTGAACGAAGTACCTTTAGATACTCCTGACGAGGTTGGTCGTGTCATAAGAAGCTCGGGCCAGAAGGAAGACAAATGTTTTAGTGATACTTAGTTTTAACTTAATCACATTTGTCTTGTTTTTCTTTCAGATGGCTATGAAGACCACGAAACTATTCCTTTTCAACAATCGTGATGCGGCAACGGAGAGAGTTGAACTCCAAAGGCGTGATGGAGTGAGGGTAGAAAGGGTACGCAGACTTATTTATAATCTATCAGAATTATATTCTGAGGAGGACGTTCCGCGATTTTGGGGTGGTAATGCGCAAAGACCCCCCAGACGACTTATTTTCAGGAGTGATAACGGCCTGGATATTCTTCATTACAAGTTCGCACCGCCGTTGCCTGAGCTTCACTTCGGCAATATGAACCTGGTGGTATTGCAGCCCTATGAGATCAACCCACGAATGGATGAAATGCTTGAAATAGGGTTGATGTTCGTCCGCTACGTGCTTTGGCTAAACGAGCGGCAAGGCCCATTTTTTTGGCATATACTACGCGGAGCGGATACGTGCCAATAGGTACGCAATTATAGGGGCTGAAGCATTATATGACGATGAATTGGAAAATAAAGCGGAAGAACTTGAGGAGTTTTTACGTAACTGATTTGAATTCGTTCTGATACGCAGATGCCTGGAGCACAACGAGACTTGACGATCCCGAGGTATCTGCTGGTTCGTGATACACACGAGGAGGATCTCATCAGGAGTGCGGCACGACTTTTACGAATACGGGATGGATCTCCTATCGACTGGTTCGGCTTCACCCGACTGCTTCAAAATGGCGAGGAATTTTTCCCTACTACTCGCTCAAATTTCCGAGCCAACATGGCTCGGACTCCCAACGAGCTTTACGAATATACTTTGTATTTCCACCGCGCGAGTAACCTCCAATGTCTCTCTCGAGTCATTGTGAGTATTATGATTACCTCGTTCGGCAGTCGTCTTGGCATCGACCGGATCCGGGACACAGAGACTCGACACCTTTTTGGACTTAGTCGATCTCTCCGAGTTATAGTTTGGAGGTTAGCCTCTCGGATGACCTCCTTCTATAATACTCGAATCATTAGAGTCATGCGATGGGGACGAATGTCTACTTTGATTTTTGACGACGACGAACTGGCACGTTTGGATTTATTGGAGGCACAGGTGCGCGGCGGACGACAGGTCTACCAGGACTAGACATCATCTTGTGAAATCATACTCAGATTTTTATAAAACACTTCGCATGGATTCAGTCCCGTTGAGGAAATCATGTAACTTATGGTTTCACAAGGTAATCTAAAAACAAAAACAAAATACTTTATGTAGTTAGGACCGTCGGATGGATAGTATTCGGATTACCCCGATGATTTCACTATCATGCTTTATGCATTGAGGGGTAATCGTTCGCGTAAAAATAAGCTGGATAAAGTGAACAGCAAACGTCTGAAAATGTTGTCAAGCAAAGCAATGGAAGATGAAACACTTCTGCATTGCGTAACTTTGGATAGATACTCTATCATTCGCGGAAACAGAAAGAGTAATTATTATCCAGGAGGACAAAGCGACCAACAAAAAGTTGTCGCTCACTCCTCCAAGTAGTTACATATGGCACTAAGGTATGGTTGAACCGAGAGTTCAAACATCGACAAGAAACCTGATCAATTTTGATCTGCATGGTGCAAGTGATATTTATTTAAAGAAGCTATTCATGACAAGTTTCAGTAGTCATGATAAGAAAATCATTCTTAGTTTATTTCTTTAAATTAATAATCTTTGAACGACAATATAAAAAGTTCTTTCAGTCATACAGGTCGAAAAATAGACACTTTGGCAGTCATCAAGTCAACGATTTGGATTGTGTGATTTTGTTTTTAGGTATGGGGATTTTTGTTGTTTGATTGCTAGGGACTAAGGATCGTTTTCACGTTTGGTTGAGAATGTCTTAATCGACCGGCGTACACTTCGTACTTGGGAGATCAGCGGCCGGGGAACGAACGACACATGGGTTTATTCGGCGTTTAGTTAAACAATTCCTATACTGCAGCGAGACAAGCAAACGCTCTCGGTTGATCTACCTCTGCGATTCCACATAAAACCCTTCGCACGTGGATCAGTAGCTCGGTATGGATACGCCCCTAAGGGTGGTGACAGCCCCTTAGGGATGCAAGCTTATGCCCCGTGGGAACCTGTCCTGTCGTAGAGGACCGTGGGATGTATAGCTGGCGCACCCGGCTAGAGCGGCGAAGAAGCGAAGCAACCGCGTCCGTCTCGGCGGTTCGCGAAACAATATGCGTCGTTCCCGAGTTATCTCTGAAAGATGTGGTTTAGGTAAACTCCTGCGTGACATGGCCGGGAGGGCCCTCGTTTTCACGCGAGGGCCGATGTGCGCGACAGCGGCCAGGTTGACATGGAGGCTGTTCTCTGAAGGATCGTAGATCTGGGACACGAAGGTTGGGTGTACATTGAGGACTGCACAAAGGAAGGGACACCGGTTGGGTGGGGGTGGTAGAGCGCAGGAGAACCAGATTGGGAGGCACACCCTCTGAACATCCGTGCCCCTCTTGCTACAATTGAAGCCAAAATGTAAGAGAGGGGGGGCCAGCTGGGCCCCCCACAGACAACCCAAGCACCCACAGACCGAGAAGCACAAGGAGTCACATTCATGTGGGGGAAGACATGAACCGGGCCCTTTGTGCGGTAGGTGCGGGAGCTCGAAGGTCGTAGGTTTGTTTGATGGGCCAAGGTGTGGCCTTAGCATAGGTTGTTAGGCCCAAGTACAACACAAAAACGGTTTGTATAGAATGTTGCGCCTGTAAAGTTCAAACTTGGGCTACGATACTTGACTTTCAAGTTGAGGCTCCCACATTACTATTCTCATTAACTTTGTCAACAATCCCAAGCTCAAGCCCGATTAGTAAGGCCGACGGGGTGTCAACAATATTCCCTTTGTCCCCTTCCCTTGTGAACTCCACTTTGATTTATTATTATTTTATTATTTTTCCGTTTTTAGGATCAGGCTCGGTACCAGACTCTCAGAGGACCCAAAAACCTACCTCAGTTGGTACACCCATGAATTGTTGAAGTGCAGACCTCAGTTCAAACTCCACATGAACTAGACGAATAAAATATTGCAATTCTGAATTACATGTGGCCGGTCAGTTTGATAATAATATTTCCAGGTTACTACCCTCGACTTTATCTTTATGGACATTGGATAAAATTATGACAAAGGAGGGGAAAATCAGTGTGGGCGTAACTTTTATTCTTATATTTTTCTTTTACTCTCTTTTTGAATGAATCATTAACGATATTAAGGATAGATTCAATATGTTGTAGTATTGGTTGTAAGGATGTTTAGCCAGGATGTCTGAATTGGGTAGCTACAAAAAGTTGCAGTCTGATGGTAGTCGGGTTACTCTTTCATCTCGATCTCGATTCCTGCGGGTGGAGGTAAGTTGTACCTTACATGACTTTATCCTGCCGTAGGGGTTCGGAAGAGGTATAGCTCGCGCACTCGATTGGAGCAGCACCGCTCCTTCAATGTTTTGTGTCGCAAACTGTCAAAGTTATTTGTGACATGGTCGGGAGGTTCCTCATGCGGGACAGATGGCTCGATACCGTATTGATGGATTGGGACATAATGAAACAGAGGTATTAAGAGGACAAACCTGTGAGCAGGGAGAGTGAGGACTCGCAAAAGAAACCTAGCAGGATCAGTCCCCATACAAAAGTACTATCGTGATTAGGGGCATACCCGCCTCTCAACACGATTAATGGTCCGACGCTAACAGACCCTGAGTTCGTCCTCCGGGTGATCCCGACCTAGGCGTAATTGAACTAGATCAACTTCAATACCCCCCCAACAATAACATTCCCTTTCATTTTTGTTTGCTCTCTCCTATCTTGATTTTATGGTTGTCGTAATAAGCAATCGGTGTCGCCCCACATAACAGATGAGGCATGTGCCTTTTGAAAATAAAAATAAAAAGTTGCAATGGCAGATTAGGCAAGGGAATCGGACAAACAAGCAAATAAAGAAAAATTTGTCGAAAGGAATAACTATGACGATCACGGTGAGAAACGGGCAACACACTAACGGGGGAACAAACACATGTGCCTACGACATGCCTCGAAAAATACAAGATGAAGAAGGGGGATTCAGAACTTGCGTCTTTCTTAAGCTTGTTTTATTACGAGGCACTCAGATTTGAGCCAATGAATGTTGATTCACTTTCGGAAACGGCTCAGGCATCCTTTTTAAGGATTGCCACATAGGAGGAGAGCGTTCCACCACAACACTTACCAATAGACTAGAAGCTGGTCGATATAGCAGAATGGCTCATGGCTAATCTATGAACCCTAACATA